CCTCCACCGTCAGATTAGGCTCAATGCATTAACGCAACCCCAGGTTCCTTCTCCCGTCGGCTTGCGCCTCTCGTGGTCTCTCCCCCCAACCTCCTGCTGTACAAGACCCTCTCCATCCTCTGGCTCAGCCCCCCCACCCCTGCCACCGATGGGTCCCTGCCCTCCGAGACCCCCTCCACACCTCCCACCCACCCGCTACCCTCCGCCCCCTCTTCGCCAACCACCCTTTGCAAACGCAAAAGAAGGAAAACAAGAGAAAACTCTGGCAGAGAGCAAGCATGGGCTTGTTTTGAAGGGGAGGGGGTGGAATGCAAAAGAGCCTCCCCCCCCCACAAGGACCCCGGTAAGGTATGTGGCAGGAGCCTCTCTTAACACCTGGCGCATCCTTGCACGGGCACACTGGGGCACGCTCGTTGCCAACGGAGGGCCACCTATTTCCTCTCGTCTGTGAAACTGACCGTCTCGACTTCTCTTCCCTTCCCTTCTTCTCTCTTCTCTTCCCCTCCCCTCCCTCCCTCTCTCCCCTCCCCTCACCACCCCACCCCACAGTCCCAGTACAATCTGCTAAACAGGAGCATGGATCAGACCGCGGAGAGCCGAGGCGCCTCCTCCACGCCTTACAGCTCCGAGCACATCGCCAATGTCCCCACGCTCTCCCCCTACTCCCAGCCCAGCTCCACCTTTGACACCATGTCCCCGGCGCCCATCATACCCTCCAATACCGACTACCCCGGACCCCACCACTTCGAGGTCACCTTCCAGCAATCCAGCACAGCGAAATCCGCCACCTGGACGGTAAGTGGGAACGTCTCTTACTTGGCAAAGTTGCTCGGGGGTGTGTGTGTTTGTGAGTGGGTGTCGTATTGGAGGGGGGGGTCTTGTGTTTTGGGGGGGGTTGCTTCTCCTTAAGGGACGCGGTGGCTCAGGTGGCTAAGACGCTGAGCTGTGTCGATCAGAAAAGGTCGGCGGTTCGAATCCCCGGTGCCGCGTAATGGAGCGAGCTCCCATGACTTGTCCCAGCTTCTGCCAACCCAGCAGTTCGAAATCACGTAAAAAATGCAAGTAGAAAAAATAGGGACCACCAATTTTGGTGGGAAGGGAACAGCGTTCCGTGCGCCTTTGGGAGTTGAGTTATGCCAACCACATGACCACGGAGACGTCTTCGGACAGCGCTGGCTCTTCGGCTTTGAAACGGAGGTGAGCACCGCCCCCTAGAGTCGGGAACGGCTAGCACTTATGTGCGAAGGGAAGCTTTACCGTTACTTTACTTTTCCTTGTGGGAATGCCACCCCAGATGGGATAGGGGTGAGCTCTGCTCTTTCCCTCCCCAATTCAACCCCGGTCCAGAGCCCTAACATCCGGCACCACCAAGCCCATCCTCCAGAAACAGATGGACAGACATCCACAGCCAACCTCTCTGTGATTCTTAAGGTTGGCCTCTCCAAAATTACCCCCCCCCCCAAAATGAGATTTATCAGGGGTCCTTGGTGCTCTCTGAGCTTGGTTGTTTTCTTGCAGACTTTTCATTACCAAGCTGGGTAACATTATCAGTGCTAGAAAGGAGTGGGGGGGAGGAGAAGAGGAAGGGGAAGGAGAAGGAGAAAAAAGGAGAGGAGAAAGAGAAGGAGAAGGAGAAAGAAGGAGAGGAGAAAGAGAAGGAGAAGGGGAAGGAGGAGGAGGAGAAGGGGAAGGAGGTGAAGAAGAAAGAGGAGAAGGAGGAAGAAGGAGAGGAGAAAGAGAAGGAAAAGGAGAAGAAGGGGAAGGGGAAGAAGAAGAAGAAGAAGAAGGGGAAGGAGAAGGAGGCAAAGGAGAAGGAGGCAAAGGAGAAGGAGAAAGAGAAAAAGGAGAAAGGAGAGGAGAAAGAGGAGAATAAGGGAGGAGAGGAGAAAGAGAAAGAAAGAGAGGAGAAAGAGAAGGAAGTGGAGGAGCGGGAGATGAAGGGAAGGAGAAAGAGGAGGAAGAAGAAGAGGAGAAAGAGAAGGAGAAGAGGAAGGAGAAGGAGAAAGAGAAAGAGGAGAAAGAAGGAGAGGAGAAAGAGGAGAAGGAAGAGGAGGAGAATGGGAAAGAATGAGTGGAGAAAAAGAAGGAAAGGAGGGGGAAGGAGGAGGAGAAAGAGAAGGAGAAAGAAGGGGAAAGAGGAGAAGAAGGGAAAGGAGAAAGAGGAGAAGGAGGGGAAGGAGGAGGGGAAGGAGAAAGAGAAAGAGAAGGAGAAGAAGGAGAAGGAGAAGAAGGGGAAAGAGGAGAAAGAGGAGAAGAAGGGGAAGGAGGAGAAGGAGNGTGTGTGTGTGTGTGTGTGTGTGTGTGTGTCTGTGTCTGTGTGTGTGTTGGTGTGTTTTTCAGCAGTTTTTCTCTGGCTTGGATTACACCGAACCGCAAGACAGTTAGCAGGCTACGTTTTCTGTTGACAAGGCAGCGGGCCGCAAAAGCAGGCTCGAAGGGGATTAAAACCCCAAGATTTTTGAGGATCCTGCATGGCAAAAATTTGAAAATCCTTGGCCTCTCCCCCCCCCCGAGATCCAGAACCACAAAAGACCGAGCGTGCAAAAAAACCGAGAGGATTTATATATATTTTTTCGGGCGGGGGAAATAATAAAACAAACAACCAACCCCGTTCTTCCAAAATTAAAAAGAAAGTCGATTTTTTTTGCCCGGAGGTTTTGTGTTGTTACACCGAATGTGACATGGATTTAAGAGGAGATGCCTGTACAAATGTGGCGCTAATTAGCCCCGCGGTTCACGCTGGTTGTGTACCTGTCGTGTGTGCATGTGTGTGTGTGTTTTGCAGTAACCTTAGGAGTTAATTGCCAAGCGAGAGGGATTGCCTTTCTTCTCATTGGTGCCACACTCGGCAACTGTTGTTTTCAAGGAACATGCCAACCCCGGGTTTTCTCCATCTGGCGCTCTCCCCCGTCGCGGGCTGGACTACAATTCCCAGCAGCCCCAGCCAGCCAGGAGCGTTATTCTTTTGAGTGCCGGGAGTCCTCGACTTACGACAGTTGGTTTAGTGGCCCCTTCGGGAACAACAAAAAAGGGGATCACTTTTCACGCTTACGTTTTTTGCACTTAACGACCGTCGCCGCATTCCCCACGGCCAGGCGATCCAAATTCCGGGCTCTTGGCAACTTGACTTGTCTTTATGACGGTCGCAGCGTCCCGGGAGAATGCAATTCCCCCTTTTGCGACCTTCAATGGGGAAGCCCGATTCGCTTAACAACGGTGTGACTTGTTTAACAACCGCGGCGGTTCCTTTACGAACGCTGGCTAGAAAAATCGTCAACTCATGGCCCGTTTTGGGCCTAGCAATCCCCCCCCCCCCTGAAGCTTCCTGGGACCAAAATAGACAAGTTGGGCTAGACAGCAATGGCACTTAAGACTTATATACCGCTTCACACTGCTTTTACAGCCCTCTCTAAGTGGTTTACAGAGTCAGCCTCTTGCCCACCCCCAAAACAATCTGGGTCCTCATTTGACCCACCTCGGAAGGACGGGAGGCTGAGTCAACCTTGAGCCAAACAGGATCGAACTGCTGACAGTGGGCAGAATCAGCCTGCAATACTACATTCTAACCACTGTAACACCAAGGAAGGAAGGAGAGAGAGAAGGAATAGAAAGTGGGAGTGACGGGGAAAAGGAAGGAATAGAAAGAGGGAGTGAGGGGGGAAAAGAAGGAAGGAAGGAAGGAGAGAAGGAAGGAATAGAAAGAAGGAGTTAGGGGGGAAAGGAAGCAAGGAGAGAAGGAAGGAAGGAATAGCACTTAAGACTTATATACCGCTTCACACTGCTTTTACAGCCCTCTCTAAGTGGTTTACAGAGTCAGCCTCTTGTCCCCCAACAATCCGGGTCCTCATTTGACCCACCTCGGAAGGACGGGAGGCTGAGTCAACCTTGAGCCAGTTGATCAGGATCAAACTGCTGGCATTATGCAGAGTTAGCCTGAAATAATGTATTCTAACCATTGGGAAGGAAGGGATGAAGGAAGGAAGGAAGGAAGGAAGATAGCAATAGCACTTAGACTTATATGCCGCTTCACAGGGCTTTTACAGCCCTCTCTAAGCGGTTTACAGAGTCAGCCTCTTGCCCCCCAACAATCCGGGTCCTCATTTGACCCACCTCGGAAGGACGGGAGGCTGAGTCAACCTTGAGCCAAACAGAATCGAACTTGCTGGCTGTGGGCAGAGTTTAGCCTGCAATACTGTAACACCAAGGAAGGAAGGAAGGGGAGAGAGAGAAGGAATAGAAAGAGGGAGTGAAGGGGAAAAGGAAGGAATAGAAAGAGGGAGTGAAGGGGAAAA